GAGTAAATTTTCTTGCCTGTGCTTCAAATTCAAAACGATTAGGATCTCTTAGAGCATAGATGATATTGGTCGCTGTGTATGTAAAGCGTTCCTCCTTTGATGTCAACTGGTTGTCTTTAAAATACTAAAATCTCCTTGAATTGTATTTAAAAAATTTTACCCTTTTAGTTATAATTGAACAAAAAGTAGCTAAAAATTTCACCACCTTCATATAATGTAAGCACGTACAAAAAATAGCCATTAGTCACATCAGTATACTTTGGATTTGAAAAAAGCAGTTCAATTTTCCTGAAAGCGCTGGTCAAGTTACAAGATTCAAATATACATTTCCCAATTCTGTTCAGCAAAAATATCTGAACAAAGCAAAGTTTTTATTTCTGCATTGTTGTCGACAAAACAGAGAATATTACCACTGTGGTTAAACCGCTTACCTAGAATGTCTTTCATTTTGCCAATATCAGCTGAATTTCAACGAAAACTATAAAAGGAGAGTCGGTAAACGTAAAAGAGATACTGTCACCAAGTGCTGTCGCTGCATTTTCATTGATTTTTTGTTATCTGTCTTTGAGCCGTAGAGCCAGGAACCTTTTAACCAATATTCTTCATGAAATTATCAGTTCCACCTGTTTTTTGAAATGTTTTTCGTGTTAAAACGATTATAAATTTTATTCTGTCAAGAGGTTTTTCTCCGAACAATGATATAGATTAGAACTTTCCTGATCACCTTTTTTATTTTTACCTCTTGATGATTTATAATCTACAACATGCTGATGCTTGTTTACTGGTTTTTTCTAATGCAGTTTCAGATGCTTCGGAAGTGGATAATACTAGGACTTCTTTTTGGGGCGATCATTTTCCGCGTTTGGCTGGTGTTTCGTGAAGCAGAAATTAAGTTCTTTGGACCTTTTAATACAGCGTTCGTTGTTCGCCTACTCACTCCAAAAAAAGATATATATTCAGTGGTAGAAGCGGTTTAACAGTCGAGGTTTTTAAATTAATGCACAGACTTTCTACAAAACTTTATTGATAAAATGTTTTTTAAAGTGTATACCTTATTCACCACTAGGCATAAAAAGTGAAGTTCACATCCTCATAGAAAAAAATCACTGCCACGGAAAATGCTCTATGCTCCCAAGATTCTAAACTTCTCCATGATTTCTCTCTGTCCGTGCTATCAATGTTTCTTATCAAAAGCTAGTCGTATTCAGTACAAGGTTTTTAACAAGAAAAATTAAAAGCTGAGCGGATAAGCAAAATCTGCGTGAGTGCAAACGCTTTAAAAAACTTGACACAAAAGCTAAAATGACTTCACTGTGTGTTTTCGTGAAAGAAGCGGTCGGAAAGAGCTAATTTTAGATTTTACATTTCTGTGAACCGCACAAATATTATCTGTAGAAGGTCTCTTTCAAAAATTGCAATTGTTTTCTACTGCTTAGATTCTTTAAAAAAAAAAGTAAAAAAACTAAACATAATTAACAAAAATAAAATAAAAAAGCTTATCAAAATATTCTTCTTCCTCGTTTACTCGAATTTTTTTTCCAGGTCTTACGGTGACTACCGTCTAAATATAACGTTTAGCAAAAACATCGGAAAGGTAGAACGGCGTTTCCAAGCACTTGAGGAAGAAACGAGGGAACTTAAGGCACTTTTGGAGAGCCTAGATGTAATAGAGCCGAAAAATATTGTCAGTAGTGTTCGAGAAGTTGCGTTCAATGATCTTGCATTTGTGACGGCTGCAACTCGAGATCATTTCGATGAAGCCTACAGGTGCATTTTTTAAACAGACTGCGATACTTCATAAGGCTCAAGAAAAAACAACTTTTAAGCTAATTCCACGAACCATAAAAGATTTTCTGGAAAATAGAGATAAGGTTCAGAGATGCTTCGAATCGTGGTGCATTATACTTAATAACTCTTGAAAAAAAGGAAATTGACGAGAAAATTGATAAAGTTTTACTGGAAGATATGAAAAATAGAACTTAAAAATGTTAAAATTCCGATTTTACTGTAGTCTAAAAAGAAAGTGTACGCGTTTCTGTGCTGCGTCTCCTAAGCTTTCAGAAACGTCATCCAGGTTAACAGTATTTTCATTAGGTTGTGAATGAATTCTTTATTGTACACTGAGCTCCCGCCTGCATAAAAAACTGGAAGCGCACATCTTCTGTCGTATTTCAGTTCTCTACTCTTATATCTCACTGTCCTGTGTTCCAGGTGCTGTCTAGCTTTCTAATTTGTTGGCTTTATTATGTGATAGCCACGGTTTTCAGCAATAAGCACCGTAGTTCTTAGAAACCGTCGTGAGGTAGCCAAGAAAAAGGTTTAAGAGAAAAACTTTAAGGAAAAATTTCTGGCTAATCGTTCCGTCATTCGCATTGCTCTAGGCAGAAAAGAGAAATTTCCTGAATTTGTCACGCTAGTAATCTATGTTAAGTTCTTTTTTTATTACCGTTCTCGTTTACATTCTCCATTATGAATTTGAGCGTTCTTAGGATCCTCTGCTCCACGATGATGAACTACAGAGGCCTGTTACATGGAAATCAGACGAAACTGTATTTTTATATACTGGGAGATGCTCTGTCTTCAGGAGAAAGAAATTTTATAATTAAGCATTGTCCACTCGCT